TTTTCAAGAAATATAGCTCGCATGGCGTAATGGCAACGCGTCTGACTTCTAATCAGAAGATTCTGGGTTCGACCCCCAGTGTGAGTGCTATCTTTCTTCTAATTTTCCGTGATAGTTTAATGGTCAGAATGGGCGCTTGTCGCGTGCCAGATCGGGGTTCAATTCCCCGTCGCGGAGTATTTTTTGAAATTTTTTATATGTGGTTCATGTGACTTCCTAGCATTTGAACCATTGAAATTGTGGCAGTACCAACTGAATTTTTTGTTTCGAATTTATGTTGACCTCCTTAGAAACTATCATTAAAGACAAGAACTTTACTAACCTTTATGACGCTTTCAAATAGAAGAGTGTAAAATGTATCATTTATTTGTTTATTTGTACGTCGCTTCCCTTACATTCAATAAACCTTTATTTTGCGATGAGGTAAAATGTCTTGTACGTTACTTTCTGTGCCTGCGGTGTCGGATTAATATTTTTGAATGTTTTTTTTTTCAAAATTTTTTTTGTTTTGATCTTTCAGATATTAGATAATATAGTAGACAGTGAAGGGACAAAATGAACTAATGTTTAAAAGAAGAAACAATTGGTTTCTCGTATTAACTCTACATGTTGAAATTTGGTAGGGAGAACCTTAAACCTGAAGTTTTAACGTGAATTAGAAATAAGCAATACAGTGCTGAGTTCTCCGATGTTTGAGCTCCCTATTGTTGACGGCTATGAAAATAGTCAAACTTATCTAGCTGAAAGGAAACTAAAATATAGATACTTCAACCAATCACATAAAAGGTACCAACGTTATTTGGAATCAAAGGGAAAGACTGATGTGGCTCTTAGAAACGAGCAAGAACAAGATGAAGATGATGAAGATGATGATATTGAACGTAGACACAATTATGAAGAGAGGCTTTATTTCAAGAGGTATGAGAAACCTCAGAATAGTTATGAAATATGGAGACTTAACAATAAGAAACGAAAGAGAGAACCACTACAACAACGTACGATGAGTTATACAGATATATCAGAGATCGAAGATTATGGGAAACGTAAGAGTCAGCATTTGTATTATTCTAATCATAAACTTGTTGAAGATTTTCAAAATCAAGTTGATGGATATGAGCTTTTAAAGAGAAAAACACCTGTTGTAAAAAATGTTGATTTGAAAGTTGTAGAGACTTTGACACAATTATTACACATTAATATTATAAGAAGGAAATGGAATGTTGCATATAGAGTATTTGCACAATTAGTCCGTATTCCTACTGTAGATATTAGATCCATTTGGAACCTTGGTGTTGAAATCATGTCTCATGCACAAGAAAACAATGATTCTGAACAAAAGATGACACTAGAGTTTTTAGAATGGATGACAAAAGTATATTCTTCAAGAGCTAAATATGTTGAAGGAATCAATCACAAACTTGCACCTATATTTCGTAGTGGTTCAAAGGATCATACTGCCAAATATGTCACTACATTATTATGGAGATCTTTGTATGTAGCATCTGCGAAAGCACTAGACAATGACCATAACACTGACGATACTAATCAAGAACATTCTTCGATCAGTGATGAGGCATTACAGTTACTCATCGAAAAGATAAATGATTTATTGATTATACCCACATACATGGAAGAAAGTGAGATCTGGTTTGTACAAGCAATGTGCCATGTAGTGAAGACGGATTACTTGACAAGACAAATGAGCTCCAATCGCGTTGATTCCATCAATGATATACGTCGTAACGATGTCACAGCAGCCATCAAGACAGCTGAACGGTGTCTTGAAGAATGTCTTAAACGAACAGCCGGCGATACTGTCCTGTTCAGATTTCCAGACCGCTACATCCGCAGACAACTCCGCCAGCTAGAACACAGGATCGCCAACGAATAGAAAGAATACCCTTCCTCCTCCCCATCCACAGATCCCATGATTCATTTCCCAGAAGGTATATATATTGAACCCGCCAAGCACGTGACCGCAAATTTCCTCTTTTAACCGAAAAAATGGTGCTGCGCCTCGCGCGTCTCATTTTTTCCCTCCGAGCTGGTCTCGGATAAATCTCTCGCTGTGAAGTTCCCCCACGCGAAACGTTTTAGTTATTCGCGCAAAGTGAGGAAGGGGCATTCAATAATGACGTTAAAAAAGATTTTTCAGCCTAAACAATAGATTTATATAATATATAAATGTAGATCTTTAGTCTTTTTATTCTATTCAAATCTCCCTTACTTAATAGATTTTTTTTTTTAGGAAGTTTGTTGCGCATTTTCACTTTCAATTAATAGAATCTTTTTTCTATATTTAGTAGATTTTGTATATTTCTATTGTTAATTCTCTTTTTCTTTTAATTTTATTGTTAGCACTGGGTTTATTTCTTGACTAGAACTAGAATTAAACAAGACAATTAAATAGTTACTAAACGAAAGCAATTATGCAATTGAAGAACTTGGTAATTGCTGCTGCTTTGGCTGCTAGTGTAGAAGCTTGGTCTCCTACTAACAGTTATGTTCCAGGAAATGTTACCTGTGACGACGATATTAAGTTAATTAGAGAAGCTTCGAAGACTTTGTCTGATAATGAAACATCATGGTTGCAAAAGCGTGACCCTATTGCTTCAGAAGCTCTATTGTCATTTGTTCAACGTGCAATGGCTAATATTTCATCTGCAGATGATTTAGCTAAACAAATTTTTTCAAATTCTTCCTCTGCTCCAAAGATTGGTATTGCTGCCTCAGGTGGTGGTTATCGTGCAATGTTAAGTGGTGCAGGTATGATTGCTGCTATGGATAATAGAACTGACGGTGCTAATGAACATGGTCTTGGTGGTTTATTACAAGGTGCTACTTATTTGGCAGGTCTTTCTGGTGGTAACTGGTTAACAGGAACACTTGCTTGGAATAATTGGACTTCTGTTCAAGATATTTTGAATGGATTTTATAATGATTCAGACACTCAAATTTGGGATTTAGAACATTCTATTGTCACTCCAGGTGGTATCAATGTCTTTAAGACAGGATCTAGATGGGATCACATCTCAGATGCAGTTCAGGCTAAACAGGATGCAGGTTTCAATATCTCCCTTGCTGATGTTTGGGGTCGTGCTCTAGCTTATAACTTCTTCCCATCCTTATATAGAGGTGGTGTTGGTTATACTTGGTCCACTCTAAGAGATGCAGATGTCTTTAAGAATGGTGAAATGCCATTCCCAATCTCTGTCGCTGATGGTAGATATCCGGGTACTACTGTTATTAACTTAAATGCTACTGTCTTTGAATTTAATCCATTCGAAATGGGTTCTTGGGATCCAACTTTAAATAGTTTTACTGATGTTAAATATTTAGGTACCAATGTCACTAATGGTTCTCCAGTTAATGAAGGTAAATGTATCGCCGGTTTCGATAATACAGGTTTCGTCATGGGTACTTCTTCGACTTTGTTTAATCAGTTTTTGCTACAACTGAACACTACAGGTTTACCATCTTTCATTCAATCTTTAGCTAAACATTTCTTAAACGATTTATCTGACGATTATAATGATATTGCTATCTATGCACCAAATCCATTTAGGGATGCTGATACTATTGCATCTAATTACTCTCAAAGTATTGCTGAATCTGAATATTTATTCTTAGTCGATGGTGGTGAAGATCTTGAAAATATCCCATTAGTTCCTTTAATTCAAAAACAAAGAGATCTAGATGTCATCTTTGCTTTAGATAATTCTGCTGACACTAATGCTTCTTGGCCGGATGGTACTTCTTTGGTAAGCACTTATCAAAGACAATATGGTCTACAAGGTCAAGGTATGGCTTTCCCATATGTTCCTGATGAAAATACTTTTATTAACTTAGGTTTAAACACTAGACCAACTTTCTTTGGTTGTGATGCATCCAATATGACTGATCTAGAATATATCCCACCATTGGTTGTTTATATTCCAAATTCTTATCATTCTTACAATGGTAATCAAAGTACCTTCAAATTATCATACTCTACAGATGAAAGAATCGGTGTCATTCAAAATGGTTTCGAAGCTGCCACTAGAGGTAATTTAACTGATGATAGTGACTATCTAGGTTGTATTGGTTGTGCTATCTTAAGACGTAAGCAACAATCTTTGAATGCTACTTTACCATCTGAATGTGAACAATGTTTCAGCAACTATTGTTGGAATGGTACTCTTGCTAGTACCCCAGTTAATGGTACCGACGCCAAGGCTTCAACCACTGATATTGCTGCTGCCATGACAAGTGCAGCTGGTGATTCATCTTCATCTGGTACTGCCACTGAATCTACCTCTTCAACAACGACCTCAAATACTAAGTCTTCCAAGTCTAAAAATGCTGCCAATGTACTAAACGCACAAAACATTGGTCTATTCTCACTAATCTCTGCTTTGATGAATTTCCTATAATATTAATATATAAAATATATATCTATATTTATGTCTATCTATTTGATTAAATACTTAAATGACAATGACTACGATCGTATTTAGTTATCCACATTTCTTGTCAACTAATCGATATCTTTGCCTATATTCTTTGTATAAGGAGATGTATGTTTCGTCTATGAATTTAACAAACTCAAATTAACATCGTTAATTTTGTGTCTTTTCTAATGCCTTTTTAAGTTTTTGTTATTGTTGTTTCCATCAACTATCTATGCTAATTTTTACATGCAGAAGTTTAATCTCTTATCCTTGCGTAACCTTTGGAAATCACATTGTGTACTCCCATTCTTCTATTTTCAAGAACATTTAATAAGTCTCTCATAACAATACCTGGTTCCTCTCTGGCTTCTCTATATTTTAGACCACTATCACCTCTTGCAGCAATATCTGAAGCAACACGACCTGTGGCTTTAACGCCTGTGTTTGTTGGTTTTCCTACAGAACTTGTCAACCAACCATATTGTTTCTTACTACCTGCTCTTAAACCTGCAGTGACATTTGAAGCACGATGTAATGTCTCTTCCGAATCAATTTTATTTTCATAGTCCTCTTTCTCTAAGCCTAATGCTATTCTCTTCTTAACACGTCTCTCTTCATCTTTCTTTTGTTGTACCGCAATAGCTCTTAATGCAGTTGCCACTTCACTTCTTCTCCCTGAATTAATCTTTACAGCCTTTCTACGATGACGAGATATTACTACAGCGTTCGTTATTATATCTCTCATATATGTTTCACATGCAGAAGACATCATACTTAGTATATCATTATTTTTCACCATTTCCTCGACATTTTTACAGTTTTGGTTTATAAGAGCTTGTTTCATAGTCTTAGAGACTTGATCAGGATGTAAAAATGGTGGGTTCTTAAGCAGTTTTGCCACTACTGCGTTTTGTGCTTGAGCATTCTTTGATGCATTGATTGAAGAATGTAGTAAAGCTTCTTCCTCTCTAATATCAACACCAGCAGAAAATAAGACATCTTGCATCTTATTCGGATCCATTTTCTGCTGAGCATTGTTTGAATTTTTCGTAGATCCTTGCCCACTTGTACTATCTTTTTTCTTATTACTTGAACTCTCTTTTTTTTTCGTTTTCTTTTTATCGTCAGCTTTAGGTAATGCTAAAGCGGTAGCTTTTACTTCAGTGGAACCACTGTTGCTGTTTTTCTCTTCTATTTTAACTTTTTTACTTGGTTCGCTGCTAGTATCAGTCTCTAGCTCTCTTTTCTTTACATCCTCGGAATTTTCATTAGTTAGATCAGGTGTTATATCGTCCACTGGTGCAGTGTTCGACGTAGGTGTGTTAGACATTTAGAAAAGATACGGAAATATTGATTATTTTGTTATTCTCTAAATATCGTGTAAATTGGGGCTTAGAAATATATTCCTTAGTTTAATAATGTTACAATTGACCTGAATATAGAATGGCAATTTTCCCCCTCGACTTGATCAGTTTATTCCTTGAATAATTGTTTAACTAATGCTTTAATATTTACAAAAACCGTTGAAATAAATTTCGTCGCTTCAATTTCTCTTCTCTTTCTTTATTTTCTGTCCCCCCTTTGAAAAATCACTTTGTACGTACCGCAAGGCTATAAGAATTCAAAATAAAATAATTAATATATGAATTAAATAATGAATAAATTAGACAGATTTATATATTTATAAGTGTAAAAAAGTTTCGTGCGACAGAATGTTACACTTTGGAATATTAGTTGTTGGTTCAAAATCTTTGTGTGTGACGTTTTCTGAGGATAGAGCACCATTCAAAAAAAATGATTATGTTCATTGAGAAGGTCATATACTTCTATTGACTCAGTATTGACGAGCAGCCTCTTGACAGGCCTTTAATTGTTGTAGGTAGTATTCACAAACTTGGAAATTACCATTGTTTTCATCTAGACAACGAGTAAAATTCCTTGCATCAACATCACACATCTTTGATTGTTCTTGGGATAACTGACTTTGTTGTGCTTGTAAGTGACCATTTTCTTCAAATGGTGCAACAGCTTCGGCATTATCTGAACCTGAGCCAGAGAACATACCTGTTAAACCAGCTCCAATAGTATGGCCGACTGCACTACCTACTGCAACACCTGCTGCAGTTGAGGCCATTTGTGCGAATAGACCAGGTTGTCTTGGTTGGGCACCAGCTTGTTGTGAGGCAGCCACTGGAGTTGATGTAGGTGCAGCTCTTGCTGGTTGGCCACCAAAGCTAGCTGGGGCAGCCATAGTAGAAGCAGAACGGGATTGTGTTCTGGTAGGACTTGGTCTTGCTGCTGGGCGTCTTGCTGCTGGTCTGGAACCACCTCTAGAACGGGCCATTTTTTACGTATGCGTGTCTTTGTGTTTTTGGTTTGCTTCTTATTTCAAATAAACTAGTATTTGAATATCTTTCTTGTGTAATGATCTTGAGATATATCCTTTCTAAAATTCCTGTTTTCTAATTTAATTACTTGAAAATGGGAAAAGATTTAATAGTATGTCCACGATATTACAATTATCTATATAGTTCAGTTTGGTAGATGTTCTTCTTCAAACTTAGGTGTTTGAACTTAATGTACTGATAGTTTGGTTGATATTCTTTTCGTTTCTTTATTTATATAGTAATTACACTCGAGAAGAGTCTCTTTGCCACCAAAAAAAGTGGCAAAAAAATGTATTTAGCGGAGAGGGCGTGAACGCTTTTAAGGCCAGCGATGTTTCCGATGGCCGCCGATATCGGGAACCTCGCATTGAGCCAATTAAAGGTGAGCCATAGATCGGAGTATTAAACAAATAAAAGAGGGACCTCCAAGTTGATGGAACTTTGAACTACAGTATGGTGTATATGTTACAATGCTTTATCTCTTTACATGGGGAGATATATAAATATGTATGTAGGTGTCTGTGTATTAATGTTCTGTTTAAAAGATGATGGTACCTCTTATTTGTTGTTCTTATTGTTAGGTAACTAGAACCTCCAATTCTCGTCAACGGATTCAATAGCCCAAGTAAATTTTTCTCTAAGAGACTTAGTGAAAATCTTCTCGATGGGGACTCCAAATTTCTTGCAAAAGACTACTGATAATCTAGGATCGATATAATTAATCTTGGAAGTACCTAGAGAGACTTCAGAATTTTCTTCTTTATCCTTTAATTGAATTGAAGAAGTTTCAATTCTTAAGTCTAATCTCTCGATTTGTTTCTCTAATTTTTCAACAGTGTTTAAAGTTGGTTTTAAAACAATCTCACCAGTTTTTATTTCTTCAGCGAATTCTTTCTTTAAATCTTCTACTTTCTCTAGCCATTCATTTAAAACTTTTTCCTCTAATAATTCTTCATTTTCAAACTTACGTTTGTCATTTTCACGAACAAATTTACGTTGATATTTTTCATTTTCACGTTCAATAATCTTTTCGTGAATCTCAATTTCATCTTCTTTTGTTAAATCATCGATTTCGGCATAAAATTTCGGATTCTTTTTACGTAATTTTTTATCCAATTGTAATATACTTTTCTTTAACCTTATACGTTGCCATATAAGTTCTTTGATTCTAAAATTTGCCTTTTGAACAGATTGAGCATGACCCTTTGTGACAGACCGTTGATGGTTACATAAAATGGCCACAGTTCTATTTGCTGCATTGTATCTTAATAGTTTTTCAGCAACAGAACCTTCATTTGGAATTAAATCCAATTGATCTTGCATTGTCTTTGAAGCATTATAAGTACGGAACACCTTAGCGGTAAGACCTGGCATATAACTCTGCAAATGTTTGTTTAGGATAGATGGATCTAATCTGTCAAATAATTGATGACCTGGTTGTTTTGGAGGTCTCTTAAAAATAATTAAATCTTTAAAGACTTGTTTATCAACCTCAACTTCTTGATAAAAACGAATAGAATCCTTACCTAAGAAATCAAAGATAACAATATTCGGTGGTTGTAAAGTAACATGTTCATACCGTAAGGAACAACAACCAACTGTATCTGCTTCATCTTCTGATTTTTCACCACCTGCTCTTAATGCAAATACATCGATAAGATAAATAGCAACAGCCTTCTGACGTTCTAACATGACTTTACTCTTTAAGCTTCTTTTATAATCACGTCTAATAGAATCAATATGAGACTTCAATTCACGAGCCTTTTCAAACTTCTTTAAATCACTTTGTCCCTTTAATGAAGAGTTAGCGGCCAGTCTAACATATTTAAATGAATTAAAAATATTTTCACGCCACATGGCTAACCATTGAACGTTTGGATCATGTCTGATTTCACCCCATTTATGTCCCTTTGGTGGCTTAGGGATTGGTGCATCCTTACTTAAATTTAATACAATATCTTCAGGATGAACTCTACGTTTTAATTTACCAGTCTTTGGATGTTTACCACGACCTCTAAATAAATCAGGGGGTTCAACTCTAAAATTACCAACTTGTTCTTTTCTACCATTCAATTCACAAAATTTATAAATTTCTTCCTCCTTTTGTCTTTCAAGTCTTAATTCTTTCTTCTCTTGAGCGGATAATTTTTTTTTCTCCTCTTTTAAAACTTCAAAATAATTATAAATCTTAGAGAAATCACATTTATCAAAACTTTTAATTTCAATACCATTTAATGTACCACCATTTTCTTTTAAGATTTGTAAAAAATCGTTAAAGAAATTTTTTTGAAATACTGGATTTTTACCATGATCTGTCTCTAACAATGCAGCATAAAATCCAGCAACTTCTTCAGCTTCTGGTGGTAATTCTACAGGTTGATTATCATAATAAAGCTTAATATGCGATGGTAATGGTTCATATTCAGGAGGAAACATGACACCATTATGAACAAGACTTGTCCAACCATTATCTTTCACATCTCCTTCTTCCCACCATTTATAAGATTCTTCTTTGTCTTCCTCTTCATCATCGTTATTTTCTTCTTCCTTCAAATCATTTTCTGTCTCTTTTTCTTTCTTAATAGATTTTTTAATTGTTTTGGTTTTCTTCTTTTTTTTCTTCTTTTCAAGTTTCTTAGACATTACTTCATCATCATCATCATCACTATCTGATTTAACTTTAATTTTTTTTTCCTTTGATAAAGTTTTTGTCTTTTTCTTTTTTGGTTGTTTAGACAAAACATCATCACTATCATAATCAGAATCCTCTTCAGGAACAATTTTCCTTACTCTCTGATTTTTTCTTGAAATAGTTTGAGATAAAGGTGTATCTTCATCATCAGACGACATCTCAGCTCTTGTCATTTCCTATTTCTTAACAGTTCACAGTATAAATAATTAAAACTTTCACTTGCGGCCGTTTTTCCTTTTTGGTTCTCCTCTTGTATATAATAATGGAATTGTACGTATCAGGGATTCACCCAAACGAATTATGGTTATTTTGTTGTTGTTATTATTATTCCATATATCTAAGTACCTTTAAACATATGATCAACCTCATCGCTGGATCTTTACTATGCAACTTTTCATGTAATAATAATAATATTATATAATTAACGCGTCAAAAGGGATTAAAGCAAGATTCAGCATATTTTGCTACGGTCAGAGAATAAATTTTTGAAAAATTTTGAAAAATTTTGAAGGAAAAAAACAAATAATTTAGGGAATTTCCGGGTTACTACCACTGCTATTAAGAGAACAATTTAAATGAAATAAATCAGGATGGTGGTGGTGATGGCACTTCTGGCAGGTAGCAGGTTAGGGGAGGGCTAGTTTACATCGATTGGATCTTGCTGTGTGGTGTGGTGTTTTATTATTTATGGGTTGTCTTGTAATGTTTGGTGTGTATTTAGCGTGTGGCTATAAAATTGGTGAGTCCTACGATAGATGGTAGGTATACATAAAGAAAAATGTATTGAGGCTTTCAATATTCAGACAGAAACATGGCATCTGTGTAATAATATCGCAAATAAATTGTTGGTGTGTCTGATATTTAATGTCTAAATAATGGACTTGAATTGAGAATATGTAAAATTTTACGAAGGAGCTTCATATATGAAGAACCAATAAGATTTCGACAGCTACGTAATAAATTAATAAATTGATTAAAAATAAAATCCATAAAAAAATAATTATGTTACGGTGAATAATTTAACTGTTTCGCACTAATCACTCATCACGCATTGTCTTTAATATTCTTTCCCCCCCCCCTACCTTCTTATAATATAATTGAAGGATAAACTTTATTTATTAACTTGTATAGTTTAATGGTTAAAACATTTGTCTCATAAATAAATAATGAATGGTTCAATTCCTTCTACAGGTATAATATAAAAACTACAATCTTTATATCAATAATTTATTGATATCCTTTAATTAATTAAAGGTAAATATAATAATAAATAATGAAATTAAATTTATTAAAATTAATAAATAATAATAATAATATTAATAATAAAATTTTATTAAAAAATTTATTATTAAATAATTTAATTATTAAAAATAATAATAATAATAATATTAATAATAATAATAATAATGTTTTTAAGAATAATAAATCTAATAATTGAATAATTAATGATTATAATTATAATAATAATAACAATATTAATAATATAATTAATGATAATATAACTATAAAAATTATTAAAAAAATAATGAATATAAGAATAAATAAAGTGTTAATTAGTAAACCAATTTTTAATCATACAATAAATTCATTAACAATTAAATTTTATTATTATAATATTGATAATAATAATAATAATAATTATTATAATTTAATAATTAATTTAATAAATAATATAAATAAATTAAGTAATATTTTATCATATTTTTATAATAAAAAAGTTATTATTAAACCTATTAAATTATCATATATTTATTTAAATAATGATATTTTTAGTAATTTTATTAGTTATTTAACTAATAATTCATTAAATTTAAATAATAAATCATTAAATCTAAATAATAAAACAAATATTGATTCTATTTTTAAAGAATATTTAAATTTATTTAATAATATTATACCATTAAATATTAATAATAATATAAAAAATAATAATATTAATAATATTAATAATAATAATATTAATAATATACCAATAAATTTATTAATATATAAATATTTAATAGGATGATCAATTTTATTAAAAGGTAAATTAAATAAAGTTAATACAAGAACTAATAAATTATTATTAATTAATGGTACATTTAAAAATAATAATAACAATAAATATTATAAATTAAATTATTTACCAAATAATAATTATTTATCAAATACTTATAATATTAATAAAGATGGTAAATATAATATTAAAGTAAAATTAAATTATAATTAATATTATTAATAATATATAATTAATATTCATATATATATATATATATAATATATAAGTAAATAATAATAATTAAATAATTATTATTTAATAGCTTTTATAGCTTAGTGGTAAAGCGATAAACTGAAGATTTATTTACATGTAGTTCGATTCTCATTAAAGGCATTTATTATATGAAAAACTTAGCGGGGATTTGAGTATCCCTTAATTAAAAATGGGTATAAATCCCCCCCCCAGCTACAAAGTAGCTGGGGGGGGGGGGGGGAATGATTATAAAAGTGTAATAAATATATGTAAATACTAAGGTTTGAACTTAGATAA